CTCCCCTCTTCACTAAATTATGAATATGAATATGATTATTGAAAAAATTGATAAAATATGTGTGGAGAATAACTTGTACATGAGGCCTTTAAACAGACCCATGGGCTGAAGAGGATGCTGCAGTAGTTGAAAGAATATGTTGCAACTTGAAATGCACTGAGAGGTASAAGTCTTTGTGCTTGTTTAAGTGGACTGCTCTTTTATTAAAAAAAAATCCCCACTGTTGCTGATTCAGAGGATCTGTTTCAGGCCTCTAAGGGGCTATGGCATTGTTTGTGCCAGTGCTGCATGGCCTGTGTGAGGAGGCACTTCACTTTAGGGGAGCAGTGGGCAGAGCTGCCTTTRTTTCTAGGGCACTTGTTGGTACCCAGCAGGCTGTCTCTGAGCATGAGCTGGGCTGTCTGGTCCCTGTGACAGCATCCCCAGGGGCCACCTCACTGGATGCTAGGTCATTCCCTGGCACAGACCTTCAGCCACCTGAATTCCTTGCCTGGCAGAGAGACCCATTTGCCTGCCAAGGGCACGTGGGGTGCTATCATACAAGGATTGTTACTTGAAGATTTCTCCACCATTGCGGAACTCTTCCCTTGCCAACTAGACCCTCTTTTTAATCAGGGAATTTAATTCAAACCTGTAGTGGAAGCACCCCACAAGAGGCACTCTGCTCAAGAAGACCCTCTTTTACACTCAATAAAACTAAAGGGTGTGAAGTTTTGTCCCTGGCTCCCTCCATGGAGAGAATGCCTTTGCTTTCCCTCCTGCCTCATTCTCAGCTCCTCTCCTGAGCAGCCTCTTTGAATGAGCTCAGGTGGTTTTTCAGGGTCTGGCAAAAGGAGTGTAAGTTTGGAGCTGGTACTTTAAATTAAAGGGATGTCATGGGGAAACAGTGGTGACTGCTTTTCCTTTCAGCTGCGCTGTGAAAATTAAAGTCAAAATGGGATATACTATTACAGACATTTAACTGACTATGCCAAAGCCTATTTCAATACAAGCCTGGTGAAGGAATAAGCCTCACAAATGAATTACTTTGCTGCTAATTCATGTAAAACCTGCATATGCAGTGAGGTTTTCTTAAATAAATACTTGATAAGTGAACAAAACTCTAGCACACTAAAGTGCCAAAATAAAATGACTGCCTGACCTGATAAAAGACATAATTACTTTTAATGAATACACCTGCCAAGTGCAGATATGCAGAGCAGCACCTGATATTTCTGCCCCCTCCTGTCTGCAGGCAGCTGTACAGCACTGACTTCTTAGCACCTTACCTGTTGCTTCCATCTGCAGAGCACATCCCAGCTCCAGATTTCCAACTCTTCTCACTCTCCTTTGCTTTCAGCCTATTGATTTTTTCCAGCTTGCTGCTGTTCGGTGTTAAAGAAAAAGGAGATCTTGAAAGGAGAAAGAAACTCCTGGTTCCTGATGCTGAGACCTCAGGGTATAGATTCAGGTTTCTCTTGCTCATTTGTGCATATATGTGCATATCTATAGATGTGTGTATATATTGCCTCCTTATACGTACACTAACTTGAGTCACCAGTTAGTTCACTCACATCTTGTTTACTTGGTTTTGGGTCTCAAATTTATTTAGAAAACTAATGCCCACTGAAGGAAAAAAAAAAAAGAAAGAGCATAAGCAGAGAGCTCTGCAGGTCTCTGAGTATTACATGATTTTGTCATACTGTTTGAGAAATGAGAAATATTTTAATTAAGATTATGAGTGTTCTTCACTGAAGAAGTGGTCCAGGGCCCAAGCTCCCACTAAGTCTTGCAAATAACTGCAATGGTGATAATGGTTGATTGAATTCACGGTGCAGTTTTTGTTTTTGGGCCTGTGTTTGTTAATGGCTGCATGCCCAGGAAAGGTATGTGCTGTTCAGACCTGGAGAAAACAACACACTGTTTAGACATTTAGAAAAAATGTTGTTACGTACTTTTTTCTTTTCATCCTGCTCCATCCTCATTTCGGGARGTATCACCACACCCACTAGCCTTCTATCAGTGGCTGTCAGCATCCTGGCAGGTTTGGGAGTTTTGCTGAGCTCACARGAGAGGCATTCCTCATCCAGAAGTTGCAGCACAGACAACAAAGGGACAGCCAAGCTACATGTAACTTCAGGGTCTTTTGATGACAGAGTTGTTTCCCTTCTACAGCAACATGAGTGCAAGCTCCCTTAGATTTGATCCCACTGTCAGTTCTGTAGAAGTATTTGGCATGCAGCAGTCTTGTTTGAAATGCTCCATCCATCTGTTTKTTCCACCTAGTGCAAGATTTCACCCTGTAATTGGGAGAGCTGTAGGCTAGAGATATATTGCAGTCTTGCTTTGCTTTACATTTCATTCCTGGAGCATTTTTATGATTCTTGTTTTCTCCTCTTATGCTCCTCTGAGTAAAAAATAAYTGAAATGAATGCTATAAAAGCTGCTTAGTAAGAATTAACTATTTTTTTTATGATTTTGTGTCCCCCATGTAGAGCTGACTCCCTCCTTTTCTGTTTCAGTCCATTTCTGGAAAATACCTTCTGCCCCAAAGATTAAGAAATAAAGCAGAGAGACTCTTAGCTGTTTTCTTTCCCCCCTAACCACTGCCATGCATTGCATATGAAGTACATTGAAAAGCCCTTTAAGGCTTATGTTGACATTTTTGGGGGCCACCCTAGCTGAAGCATATGTGGGTATAGTTTAGATGAGTAGAGCTACTTGATGGACAAAGAAAGTGAGCTCATTTGGCTTGACAGGAACTCTGCTGCCCTGCTTGAAACTGTTTGACCAATGAAAATACCTTGSCATTAAGGGGATTCCTTCTTCTGTTTGCTGAATCCTAAAGCWGCCAGCCCTGATGGCAGTTTCCAGATTTTCAGGTTGGGACTGTGCTGCTAATTGATCTTCAGCTGTTCTGCTGCCTTACCCAGAAGTCAAAACTTATCATGTTCACRTATATGCACATGTATGGACATGAAGTTTGGTCCTAGGTATGCAAMATAATACATGATGCTTATGTCAGAGAGAAGGAAGAAATTATTTAGTTTTTTCTCTTTTGGTATTTTAACTTCATCTCTGAAATCTTAAATACAATGTTACTGTTCCACAAATAAAATCAAAACTAAGAACAGGTCATCTCTGGGCTGTTATTAATATTCTTGATGCATTCTAATTACTACAACCGATTGAATTCATGCCTAAGAGGAACAGAATTCAGCAAATTAGTTTTAAAGAGCAGTTTGACTTAGTTGGGGACTGTGGAGAAACAGGCACACAGAAGTGCCTCTGGATGGTAGAATGCTCTCGTGTATAAATTTTCCTTTATTCTTATCTGGTGCCACTGGAACATATTTTATTTCCCACTGATTTCAGAAAAGGCCTCGTCCACCTTAAATTAAAAAAAAAAAACAAGAACATAAGCAGAAATCCTCAAACTAGTAAATAATCATATTCATTTTAAACAGCACTAAAAAGCAAACGGCAGCCATRTTAATTTTTGCAAAGGCTTTGATTCACTTCCTTGATAAGAGGTACCAGTTCAGACAAATCAAGATGGTATCTCTTCAAGTTTTCCCACATCTGTCTGAAATGTAGACCATCAGAGTCTGATTGTGCAGCTCCTCTGTTCATACCTTTCCTAGAGAAARGTTGGGACTTTGGCATGGAAGTACAGAGCTTCCTTTGCACAGTCTTAACTTCAGTGATTTTACTCTCTTGCTTTTTCTGTTTTCTCTGTCTCTTTCCTGATTTGGCTGCTTAGGGACAGACAGGTAATGGAGAAGAAATTGAAAGGGAAAATACAGGGAAAATGTAAATGAAAAGAAGTTATTATAACTGTTATAATGAAGTGCCTTTCATTTAAATATAAGAATGTAACGCTGAAATGAACTTGTGATCCTGAAATGCATTTTTAATGAGTTTCCTTTTTATTTTGCTGCTTCAGTGGCATATTTTAAAGACCCTTTGAAAAAAGCCACATTAAAAACCCCACCAAATGCCACAACATGCAAAATTGGATATTGGTTTATTCCAAAACTGCTGATCAGGAAGAGTGGCTCTTCAACACAAAATGTTGCAGTCACTTTATTTAAATGAGTTTGAATTTGCATTGTGATGTGCCATTCTGATTTAGAAAAAAAAAATTAGATTTTCAGATCAAATTGACCCAGCCAGTGAAGCATTAAGAAACTGGCAGGTTTAGTCTGAAAGCCTCATGTTATATCAAACCTGCAGCCGGTGGAAGTCACAGAGCAGCAGTGAGAAAACAACTTTCTCCCTGAAATCTTTCTCTTGTTACCGCGTAAGATTTTTTTGTTCTCACATATTTTCTCCTTCTCCCCATAGGAGAACGCCCTTTCCAGTGCAATCAGTGCGGAGCTTCCTTTACCCAGAAGGGCAACCTTCTGCGCCACATAAAGCTGCACTCAGGTGAGAAGCCCTTCAAGTGTCACCTGTGTAACTACGCTTGCCGCCGCAGGGATGCCCTCACGGGACACCTGAGGACTCACTCAGGTAAGTGAAGGTTTGGGAATAACCAGGGCTGCTTATCACCATACTTGTTGAGGAGATGGGGGTGGCCACCAAGCCTGAGAACTCTTCTCATCCTGTGAAGCTGAGTAGCCTCATCTTGGGGTTAACCAAGTTGTGAGTTGGCCACAGTGTGTTAGCAGCAAAGAAATGACTAAGCACATCTCACACTCATGACCCTTCACCAGAAGAACAGGGTTTTTTCCCATAGTTCTTGGCTGATTCAAAGTTTCTGTATTAGGGTTTCATCTTACAAGCCTCATGTGAGTAATCCATTTCACGGAAGTACGAGCGTGAGTTAAAGCTGATGAATGCTTTAGGGTTAGAGATAATATAAAGTTGAAACACAGTTTGRTATTCATCCTCAACCTAAGGAGTGAACAGTGCTTACAGAATTTAGCAGCAGTTATTTGTTGCACCTTGTTATTACATGTACTTTGAAAGAGAGAGTGGGGAGAAGGGAGAGGGTGGGAGAAAGAAAGATAATAATCTTCCTCAGAAGAGGGCTCTGATGCAGTTTTTCAGTATCTGTCTCAACAGTAATATGGAGACACGAATAAATATTTTTGAATAGCTGCACTTCCCCATTACCATGAACCTCTCATTGTTTGACAGAAGCCATAGTCAAATACATTCTGTGAAGTAAAACCAATTTAGCACATTTAAAGTGCCTTTAAAAGAAGAGTGCCATCTCATCTAGTTTCCCAAGCTAAGCTGCAAATGCAAATTGCTATTTGGATGGGAGACCTCCAATACACATTGCTGGAATTGACACTGGTAGTGTTACTTGTGAAAGTTGGCTTTGGGTTCTGGGTGGCAGAAGGGGAGCTCTCAAAGTGATTTTTTGGGCTGCACAAAACTAGAGAAATTCTTCTTTGGCATACATTGAATAATAAGATCCTTAGTGCTGATCCCAGATTTCCAAAATRATTTCTACTTCTCCTGTTTATTCCCAGCTTGACTGAGGAAAATACATATTTTTAAGTAGTATTTTGCCTCCCTCTCCCTTGCTGTTACTGATTTTCACAAATGCACAATTATATAGTAAAGCATAGGTTTTCATACATACATACATACATATATATATATATATATATATATATATATGAAATTGCACCTAGACACTCTTGGCAAACCCTGAGGATTCTGAGTTAAAGAGACAATGCATAAACTCTAGGTAGTGATTAGTACCTGCAACTGGCAAATTTACACTAACACGTTATAAAACAAGTTGGTCTGATTTTCACCTAAGAATTCGTAAATAAAATTCAAAAGTCAAGCTGTGTAACCGTCTAAAATTGTGAAATCACATATAAAGTGACAGTCTTGTCATGTTAAGACAGAAAATTCAAGTCCAGTAGTACACAAAACAGTGTTGTTGGTGCAATATCCCTAGAACTATCTAGATCTGGATTGCTGTAATACAGAARAGAAACTGTTACGCCATTTCTCTTGAATTTCCAGAAGGCAGAATCTAAGATTTTCTTTAAAGGGTTGGACTGGTTATGTTTACACCAGCACTGACCTCCAGCCATGGGCAAGTCACTGCCTGCACCACCAGTGCACCCATTGGCAGTCTCTGTGCTGCTGGGCACTAAAGTAAATGTTTTCAGACCTTTCAAGGTTCTCAGTTTCTAATCTGTGTAGATGCCATTTTTAAAGATTTAATGTCACAGTCTTTATCTGGTCTGAATTGTCTCAGAGCAGTTTGCARCATCCATAGTATTAACCTGTTGATGTAAACATACACAACCAGTTTTCAAATAGGTTTTTTTCACTTAGATTTTTCTAAATTGACAAAATCTTTCTTTAGTTCACCACAACATGGACTTATTTTTGTGGGCTTTTTATCTCTTGTTGTCACCATTGTTAATAGGCTGTTGAATGCCTCTTCTGAATCTCATAATGAATTGTGTTTTCTCCAGTTGGCAAACCCCATAAGTGTGGATACTGCGGTCGCAGTTACAAGCAGCGCAGCTCTTTGGAAGAACATAAAGAACGCTGCCATAACTACCTGCAAACAATGAATCTCTCAAGCAGCCTCTATCCAGGTAATAAAAGTGTCCATCTGGGTAATAAAAACGTCCATTTGGGGAATAACACTGTCCTGTCATGAATGCAGAAAAGGAATTGCAAAAGATTSAGTAGTACCATTTGTAGCAACTTCTGTTTTGGGGAGGCACACATATCCCCCATATCTTTGATACAGTATATGGATTTATTATTTATTTCATAAACATTTGRCTGTTGTCTCACTTCGTTTAGACCCAATAAAAAGCCAAAGTACCATTCAAGCATGTAGCAAAACTCTTGCATGACCTAGAAAACATCAGTTTGTCTTCTCAGGACAGTAGGGCTACATCACCTCACTGCCTTCACTTGGAGACCTGTATTGCAATACTCTTGTGGATGYATTTTTAATAAAGATTTAATGCCAACATTCAAGTAGGGCTGCAGAGTCTTCTGCACAGCACAGCTCCTTCCCTTCCCAGGCATGGCTTAAAGGGCTTACTTGACCATTGGGACCAACTCATCTAATGAGGATGAGCTATCTGGCTTTGATCTCACTCTTCCAAGCAAGAAGCTATGAAGCCAGAGATATTTAATTTAGGCAGTTTGACTTGAGACAGCCCAGAAAGGCTATTGATTTCTTGACAGCTTTCTTCCAAAGCTTCCTTTTAAAAGAAAACCGGGGCAGGTGAGGACCTGTGTTGAGTCTAGTGTAATGATGAATGTAAAGTCCATTTCTTGGAGAACATTAAAAAAACTATGCCCAGAAAAAGAGCAAGAAGGTATTGAGACTTGGACTATATTTATATCTATCTAAAAAAAGATCTAGAAGATCTGTATGAGATTGATCACAATAATTAGCCATACAAAATCCTTTTGCATGTGCAGTTTTAGATAGAGAAGATTCAGCTTCTGTGGTGGAGTTTAAACCCAGCCAGTAAGTTCCATTTCCTGCATTCCTTTTTAATCCTGTTGTGATATGTTATTTGGTTTTTCAAATGACAAAAGTGGAAACATCTCTCTGGCCTATTTGCAATGATGCCTCATTCAGTATTTTATATGTRTACAGAGTCTGAATATGTTTTAACATGCTATCAAATAATGTAAAGTATATGCACATACTGATAGCAGTGAATGCAGCTGAGATTCTTCTGGCAGACAGCATGTTAGAGCAGCACCTCTTCTAATCTTATTGAGGGGCTGGAGAATATATAAACAGAAAACCTCAATACAATAATAGACGGCAATACCTCAGAGTGTCTGGAGGATTGATTTGACTGCCTGCACACAGAACTTGCAAATCTGTGTGAATAAGTAGCTTAACTACTATTAAAGTTGTAGTAAGATGAACCTGATGCCAGGAATCATAAAATTTAATAAGAAATGAAAACGTTTTAGATACTCTCCCTTGTTTATGTCAAATCCTGACAGGAGAGCTTGCACTAGCTTACAACTAAAGGTCTAATAACTGGATAAAAATAAATGGGATAAAAATTTGAGGAATTAATGTTTTGAAAGGAAMGCTTCTTTCTTGTATATATTGAAAGTAACGTGTAATTCCATATTTGGCATAATAGGACTGCTTTTGCAAATTAAAAAAAAAAACCCAGAAATATTAACTTAACAGTTTAGACCTCATATCCAGCCAGACCTTCACTCTCAACAAAATTTAGTCCTCTGTTAGTAAATCTGTTCTTCACATTCTTAAAAAATGAAACTTTCCTGCAATTTTTCCTAGTATTTTACATGATGAAAATGTAGAAAAAACAGCCAAGAATGAGTGGATGTCCTATGAATTTTCTGTATTCTACGATAATCTAGAAAAGCAAGTAGCTATATTACCACCTATATTTCAAGGTGTGATGTGGATCTATTAGAGTCATTATTCAGACTTTTTTCTCCCCAGACTGAAAAAAGTTGGCACAAAAATCTACTAGAACATCTGATTTGACRTTCTGTCACAACAGGATTGCTTTTTAGAGCATTTCTAAAATACGTTTTGCAGTACAAATAGAAAAAATGTCAGTTGAAAGGACCTAAACTGGTAGAAGCTTTCCATCAGCTTGTAAATCTAACAAATATAATTGAGAAAGAACTTRTTTAAGGGAAAGATAAAAAGGAGTATGAAGAGGAACAAGAATTAAGTTTTAAATTTTATTTTCTCTCTTTAAGAGAAGGAAATGTAACACAAAACTGAAACCTGATGAATTTAATGGCAAAATTCTTCTTTTAGATGACTAGAATCTCAATGTCCATGTGAAGTTCTTCTAGAGGTATTATTCTTCTCCTAGAGGACTTTTGCATTTAAATTGAGCGGAAGTGTGCTGAAGTCTTACCAGGCTTATATAAAACAATACAAGTAGCTTATGAAGTTTTAAAAGGGTTAATTAGAGTTTTTCAGTAACTGGGAATTTTCATTTGAAAAGATTTTTTTTTTTCCCCAGTTCACAGACACCAAATTACAGAGAAATAGTTATCCACTTGGTAGCAAATTTGAGAGGATTTCAGYTGCAAATGCTGGAGATTAGTACATAATTCAATTTGCCCCCCTTTTTTAATAAGARTTTTAGGAGCTTGAAAATTTGACTGGTGAATACATGACTCACCTTCTCTTGAACTGATTAGTAATGGAATGTTATTATATCCTCAACAGATTTTTTCTTGATKATTTCAATTTTTAACTAAAAAATCAGTCTTTTGTTTCCCTGTTGAATGTCTGCTTTAAAACATTATCTGTAAGTCTCCTGCTGAGGTGGTACATGGAAGCCTTGACCAAGCACAAGATGCTGCTGTGTTCTTGTTCAATGGTGGCTATTTACCATCACCASCCTTTACTCTTCTGCATCTTTATGACCAAATTCTTGTTATTTCTTATGTTGGTCACAATCTTTCGTGTCCTATGGGGGCTGAAACATAATTCCATGAGTCTTCCTATCACTGTCATTTGCTTTAGCATTTTCATGGTCACTACCACTGTCACTGCAGTGTGTGCTGCTGCAGCAGGGACTCAAGAGCCAGTTGTGCACTCCTCAGTTTTGTATTACAGGACACTGTGGAATAAGACACTTCACCTGCTCCTCACAGATTTTGTGTRTTTCAGGAATGAAGTTTTCACAGTCATCCTTCTATGGCTGTTGTAAATTGTCAGAATAACATTTCATCGAACTATGTGTTCTCAGGTATTGAGAAATACCCAGGTACCAAAGTAATGGGTTYTGTGAACCAGTAAATCCAGTGATAAAACAAATTCTCAGCAGGCACAGAAGGCAAAATGTAGCAGTGGGGCACCTAATTGAARCAGCTCAAAAAGTCAAAGTATAAAAATAATCTTTTGCTTCTTCCTTTAATAGCAACTCAAAAACTCAGCAAAAATGTCCATATCTTAGTAGCAGGTAAAAGTAAAGTTAACCCTTTTTTCTCCCTTGACAAACAAACAAACAAAAAAAAACAACAAAGCAGTTGTGCTGTGATCTCGGTGCTGTGATTCACCTTCCTCTTAGATGCTGGAAGTCAGAAATACCTTTCCATACCTTTTTCATAGTCATTGTTTTGACAGTGTGTTTTCATACATCCCTTTTGTTTCTGCAGGAAAGTACTGAAGTAAAATATACTGAAAGTGAAATAGTCTCCTTTTCCTAGAGCCACACAGTTAAGCTCCTAATTCTACAGAGTCTCAGCAGAAGCAGGAGGTTGGGAAACAGGTTTGAGTATTAGAAACCAGTGTTCCACTGAAGGTGTGATTTTCTCAATTAAAATTCTTATTTRAAGTCCAAAATAGCACCAAGGAAGTATTGAAATATTTGCTAGGGGATAAAAGGGGCTGGAGACAAGGGTTGATGTAGCTTGCAAATGCATCWTCCATGGCTGGAATTGAGAAGTTTATCCATTTTTCCTGCTGAGGAAGCAATTCTCATACAGCGGGTTTCATGGGAGAGGTGCAGAGGCACGTTGTGGGGTGTCTGTGGGACAGATGAACTGCTTTGTGTCTGGGATACAGTTAGGATCTCATTTATTCTCAGAAACGCAGAGTGGCTGTAGAACAAGAGTGGAATGATTATGCAACATACAGGGAGGAACCTTGCAGTTGCTATCGTATTTTTGTGTCCTAAATGAGCAAAACATGGACATGTACATAGATTAATCAGCGTGAGGGACTCTGTTACCGAGAGTCAGAATCGTCCTGTGTCTCATATGCTGAGCTCCTTCGTCCAACTGCTTGGGAGCGAAAAGACATTGACTGACAAGCAATAACCTAAGACAACAGTTCCATTAAAATGGAACCTRCCTAATTCTTCTGATGTCATTTGATTTCAGTCATAAAAGACGAAAGTAACCAGAGTGAAATGGCTGAAGACCTGTGCAAGATAGGGTCAGAAAGAGCCCTCGTGCTGGATAGACTAGCAAGTAACGTCGCCAAACGTAAGAGCTCTATGCCTCAGAAATTTATTGGTAAGAGTTAAACGTTTGCTGTCTTCTAAGAAATAAAAATTTAAAAAGCCCCTTAAAAAACCACAGCATTTTTACTTTTGCATTATAATTTTACTTGTTTTGCTAAATTAACAATATGTTTCTCTATATAAGCAGACACACATATGTGTTGGGGGAAAAGAAAAAAAAAACAACTAAACATCTCCAGCATAGATTTCTGCATGTTTAATTTTCCACATCTGGAGATCAATTTTAAGTTTTTTCCCCTGCCTTTTTAAAAGCTTATGGACCAGATTGTTACAAAATCTGGACATGCTCTTGAAACTGCCTTAAGAACCTGAAAATAGGAATTGAAGTTTGCTATTGGGATAGCACTTGACCACACTTTCAGAGTTATTTTATTGCATTCTTGAATGACATTCAGATCTGGGCATATTTGTGCTTCTGAAAGCATTTATGAGTAATTGAAAATAGACTGGGTAGTATTCTTCACCCTTTGATAAAGTCTGTGTATTTTTACAGCCCAAACTGATATGTCTGAGAGCAGTATCTAAATGAAAGGATCTTTGGGTACATTCCATGAATGATGTAAAAACTTCATGCCCATTTGCACCTAGGAGCTTTTATCTTAACAATGAAAATTTTGACATTACGCCTATAAAAATGAAAGCTACACTTATTGTTCTGTGTAGGCCCACAGACAATATTTTGTCACCTACGCAGGTTAGCCGTCAATAAATAAAACAATAGGACATCAGAAGACAGCATATATGCATATCTGGTTAAATTCTTTTTTAATTCTCTGTAAATTAAAAAAAAAAAATATTCTATAGGAGAAAATCAGATAAAGCTAAAGTCTTTGAACCAAAATACACATTAAGAAGGTCTTCAGTCAAAATTCAAGGCAAAAAAGGACCAGTTTATTGGACAGAAAATGCAAATATTCTTTCTTCAACAAGGACAGAAGAGTGAAAGGAAAACTAGTATTTCCTAGACAAGGGAAGGGGAGTTTCAGCTACGTCAGGAGGTGCAACAAAAGGCTTAAAATTAAATTCCAAGCCTTTGTTCAAGTCCAAAGACAACAATTCTAGGAGGTAGTCAAGGATAAGAAATGCTTATGCTTTCAAAAATTCAAAAGTTGTAGTAGAGGTAGTTACCAAAAAATATATCAACTATGTAGGCCAATAGGATTCATTTTAACACGATTGCATTAGGCAAGATACTAATTCTGTGAAAGTTCCAGGAAGAACCAGAAGTGCTAAAATTTAAAAGGTACTAGCAAGTATTCTATATGCAATGTATCCCTGGGTGTGGACTGGCTATTTTGGTTTCCTTTTCTTTGTTCACCCTGAGAAACAGTAAAGACAGCCAGTTTAACTATGACTTTTAGGAGGGCAGAGTTTCCTGTCAGTTAGTTTTTCAGGGTGCAGTATAGGAAGACAACCTACTGAGAGCAGATATTTATGGAAATTTGCTAAACTTGAAAAGGATGGACTTTTCTGACAAGAAAATGCCCCCAAATCCTTTCCTTTCCAATCCTCACCAGCTGCTTCATATAACAGGCAAATTCCTTATTAACACAAGGTTGGGCTGGCTGCTCAGCAGAGCTTTTGGGTAATAAAACATATTTATTGCTCCTGTAGATTATCATGTTGTCCCAATCCCCGTACTGAATTGCAGGGAGAAGGAGCAAATGGCATCCTTCACATAAGAGGAGGACTGGCTTCTGCTTTGCTAGTTTTTCTCAAGACTAAATTAATTGTCTTTCAAAAATGAGATTATTCACCAAATTCAGAGAGTTGCCTTTAAAATTCTCTCCATATTCCAGACAGGAATAATTTCCAGACCCAAAAGAACTGGGCCATCCAAACCAAAGAGTGAGAAATGCATGAAAGGTTGATGTGGTTATAATGTTTAAAAGAATAGGCAGCAAAGGGAGGGATTAAAAAATACTAGGACAAAGGATGCCCWCATGCACTAAGTGCATTTTTACTGTTTAAGTACCTGCTGCAGAATCCTGAGCAGTGCAAACCTTGAAGTGCATCAAACCATTAGCAGTTTAATTTACTTATGCTCTAATAACCACAGAAATGAGCTATTATTTTTAATGAGTGCAAGTATTACTGCATTGCCAGATACAGCAACAGTATCTGCCTATCCTAACTTTGTGTCTGTTTCAGACAYTGCTTGGAAACAAATTTTTCTTATGAACACTTGATCCTATCAGCCCAACTACCAACTAGTKATGCTACATAAAGCAAATACTACCCAAGAAACAGATACTAAAATCATGCCTTCTGGATGCCTGTAATGAAGACCAGTCCCACTTTTCAATGGTGTGCAGTGCCCATGGAATATAAATGATTTTGACCTCATTTTTTCCTCTTTGAATGAAATGTATACATTCATATTAAGAGAGTTTTTGTGTATTCAATTTGAGAGGCTTTCACAATGCCTATTTTGAATCTTAAGCATGRAAACTATAGCATTATAGTTGAAGGATAAATCTGGAACAAAAAATAATGCACCCCAAATTGGCAGAATGATTGGGAAAGAAACCAAGAGGAACTGGAAGCTTGTGCAGCACAGCTAGAAGGTGTCTATATCCTGTGTCCCCTGTAGGAACTTACACAATGCTCAGGGTGCTTCTTTCTCTGCTTGTAGAGCATGGAACTGGTATGAAACCATGTCTTGTGGGAAATGTGGGTAGCAGGACTTTCTGCACTTTAGCTGCAATCATTGCTGTAGTGTCATGGTAGAAGGTTCCTGGACTCTTTACTGACTTTGAGTAATCAATTTGAGTGGACACTGAGTGGGAAACTGTTGAAAAATCAATGTGCGGATCTTCCGGTAAAATTTCCATGCTTCTTGTTAGCATTTCTTTTTACAAATTAGGACTTTCCAAGGCCTACCAGCAGATTTCATGTTAATCAGGAAATGGTGATAGCACCTCATAGAGATGTTTGTGGCTTTTAGTGTTTCCCAAGATCTGCAGAGCTAGAAAATCCACCCAGACTATCAACAATATGTTATTGGTAGGCCACAGAAACGTGTGAATATTTTTCACCTCTTTTAATTTGCATTAATTTATTAGGGGCCTGATAATAACTTTGATGGTTCACACTGTTAGAGAAGGGGCCTGATAATAACTTTGATGGTTCACACTGCTCAAGTTCATAAAATCATCATCTGTGCATTTAGGTCGTTTTTCCAATCCTAACTTTTGCCTTCTATATTTTTTTGCTATCTGTCTGTGAATTTGGGGGAAATTGTAGTGCAACTCAATGTTCAGTACTGGGGTATCCAGCTAAATATATATTAGCGCAGTCTGATATAAAAAAAAAAAAAAAAAGTTACTGATTTATCCCTTACTTTTATCATCCCATCAGAATCAGTTACCAGTAACAATTAATCTTTATATAGAGCTTTCTTCCTTGAAGGAAGAACATGCTCCAACTGCCAATCCACTTAAATTTTTTACATGATTCTTGGTTACTCCTGGACACAACAACTTTTTGACACAAAATATTTAGGAATCTGGGTAGCTTCTGGTAGTGTGTCTAACASGGCTTATTTAAAAACATAGTGTGCGGGGATGGTGGCAATATGAAAATTAAAGTTTTTGTTGATTTTTCTCCAAAATGACATATGTAAGACCACATTGCCAATGGAAGTTATTTCTAGCAAACTGAAGGTCTAAAACTRAACCATACCATTTCCAGAGTAAGAATGTAATACTTTAGGTAAAAATATTGATCCTATACTCTGAAGCTTGAGGCCAAGCTCTCTGTGGCAGTGCTGGCACACTGGCTTCACCATCCACAAAAGCAGTGCCTCAGCTGTAGGATGCAGATGAGGGACRTCAGTTAGAAAGGAGAAAGACATGACGAAGCACTTGATCTGTAGCTCCCATGAGACCCCATATAATTATTTCCAGAATTGTTTTCATCCATTTGTTTTCCCAATGCCCTCAAATCATTTTGCAGGCTAAAAAAAGACCACCAACCCACCATTTTTCTGAGCAGCTGTATTAGAGAAGTGTGAATGCCTCAGGTGGTATTTCAGAGGTGGATTTGGTCAACCCTCTTCTTCCCTGTTTTATTAATCCATTATGTTTATTGGATAAATCCAATCCATAACCAATCCATTATGTTTCCTTAATTATGAGGAAATCAACCCGCTAAGTCCTCATTGTTTTTCACTGCAGGTGACAAATGTTTGCCCGATCTTCCATACGATGCCAGTGCCAACTACGAGAAGGAGAATGAACTCATGCAGACGCACGTCATCGACCAGGCCATCAACAACGCCATCAGTTACCTGGGGGCAGAGTCCCTGCGTCCCCTGATCCAGACACCACCGGGTGGCTCCGAGGTGGTGCCCGTCATCAGCCCCATGTATCAGCTCCACAAACCTCTCGGGGACAGTCAAGTTCGCTCCACCCTCCCTCAGGACAGCGCAGTGGAAAACCTGTTGCTGCTTTCCAAAGCCAAGTCCGTCTCCTCTGAGCGAGATGTCTCTCCCAGCAACAGCTGCCAAGACTCAACAGATACAGAGAGCAATAATGAGGAGCGCAGTGGTTTGATCTACCTGACAAACCACATAGGTGCCCATGCAAGAAATGGCATCTCTATTAAAGAAGAAAACAGGCAATATGATGTCTTGAGAGCGGGTACTGACAATTCCCAGGATGCTTTCAAAGTGATCAGCAGCAATGGGGAGCAAGTGAGAGTTTACAAGTGTGAACACTGTCGAGTCCTTTTCTTGGATCATGTGATGTATACGATCCATATGGGCTGCCACGGGTTCCGTGATCCTTTTGAATGCAACATGTGCGGCTACCACAGCCAGGACMGGTACGAATTCTCTTCCCACATAACTCGAGGGGAGCACCGTTTCCACATGGGTTAAAACTCCRGCACAGATTGAGCCTCGACAGCTGCATTACTGGAGCTGCATGAGCCATGACAGCAACAARGCAGAAGTCAGCTGAACAGCAAAAGTTACAAGAGAATCAGAAGTTCAGCAATCCTCTTCCACAAGAAAAGGGATTTCATTTTGGTAGCATGCATTGCAGCTCAGTTTTTTAAGATGAGTTTTTACGGAAAATGTTTGATCACCAAAAACCTTTAGTAACGTAACTAGAAGCTTTTGTAGTCACATAGCTGAAAGCTCTTCSCTGAACTGATGCTTCTTGCAAGCCCCACTTGCCAGAACTCTTAACCACACATGCTCCACATCACAAGGACATAACAGGCAGCAGTGGCCAGGCTTTTTCTCTTAACACCCTGAGCGTAGGGCTCTTCTACCAGATGTGTGGTTTTTTGATTTTCGGTATTATTTGACTCTTTTGGGAAGATTGAGCTCCACCTAAGATGGAGGGACCTCTCTCAGATGACTTCATGGACAGCTGGGGTGGGACGGAACCCCTCCAGCCAGAAGGTTCTGAGTTGCTTTGGTGGTAAGAAGTAGAACATTTCCACCTGCAAGGGTTCTACTGGTATTGGCATCACAATGAGCCTTGTTTGTGTCACTAGGCAGGCAAGCAGGAAAGCAAAAGTAGAAGAAACACCCTTGTAATATACTCCTTGAAGTATGAATTGCATTTAATGTATAGGAAAAGGGTATTGTTGGCTCTTCTTTGAATAAATATTTTCTCTTCCCATCCAGTAAACCCCCAATTTTGTTAAGCAACCCCTCCTCTCTCTGCATAAACAAGTTACAATGTATTTAATTTTTCTTTCTTTTTAAAGGTTTAGTTATTTAGAAAAGTATGATGTACAGTTGAGAAAAGCACTAGATAGATATATGTGTGGGGAAAGTCTCCTTATGCACATTTTTCATCATTTTAAACTGTCTGGAAAATATCCAAATGTCCCTCTCTTGCATTTAAAAAAAATCCCATTTTGCTTGYGCAGAAGATGTCCTCTTGTAAATTTTGTGGCTCTACTCGTAAATGTTGCACTTGATTATTTTTAAAGCACTGAGATTAATTAAAACAGCCAGTCAAAATTTGCGGCCGTCTTCTTTTATTTGTGGCATTTGCCATTTAATGAGGGACTAAGGCCCACAAAGATGTTGAGAGCCTTTAATTGYTATTCAACCAGTCATTTCACTATGGGCTTCGATTTACATTTACTGTAGTGGAACCACTCTTAAAGTAAAGAAAAATGATGTTTTTTGCAGAATGGAGACCAGAGGCTGCATCACTTTGCAGAGTGCAGCAAAGTCCACCCAAAGCTTTCTCCATGGTGGGTTCTGCTGCAGCTATTGTAGCTTTGGTTAGATTCAAAACTTATATGAAAAACAGATTTTAACCCCAAACACATTTGATATAAAAAACTTTTTTAAAGCTTCCACTTATCTTCCTCTTCCCAACATTTAATTTCTGTCCCYGAACACCCTCATGCTTTAGAAATGGGTAAAAGAGAAATTTTTGCAGCTGCATAAAAATCTGTCATTGGTGCTGCAGTCTTCCTGGGCAACATTCACAAAATTAACCCATCTTRTTAAGTTAGTGTATAAATGCTTCCACTCTGCATAATAAATGGATATTTTGCAATAAACACAATCAAATACCCAACAAGACTAGCAGTCTTGTCATACATTTACATATTTTCCATTCACAAGTGCATGCAAGTACATGTATTTACTATAAATCAGATTYGATGGGACCATGAGCTGCTTGTACCTGGGCCAATGTGGCCTGATACTATATTTGTAGCTATATTTGTTACACATTTCCTATATACACATGMTATTACAGGCACACAGAGTTCCTCCTTCTGCTTTCACTTTTGCAGGTGTAAGTCAGGAGCAATAACCCTGAAGATGAGGAAAGACACTGATGAAACAATGAATCCCAAATGTGTGCTCACACAGCCTCAGGCCTTGGCTGTTCATGCCAGCTGTAAGGYACTTGCTTGGCTGGACACGTGGGCACGGCAGTGTTTTTACACTGAACGTGCACGAGAGCCTGACAATTCAGGGGCTTTGTCACCAGAGGGGAATGCTGTGTATGAATGCCCACAGACTGGTGCACATACCCACAGCAGGGAAAACACGTTGCTGGTACATGTTATCCCCCAAAAATGAGCAGTGTAAACTACAGACCCAAAGGGATCCCCTCTATTAGAACTCGGTTGTCTGAAGGGACTTTATTGATTCCCTCTACACCCACGTTACAACTCAAGCTGAGATTTTATTGCTCATTACCCTCCAGGCGGCACGAGGGCTGGGCACRAGGAATCACTGGCCATTTAATGCCCCATGTTTTGTCATCAATTTGGCTTCAAGACAGACTGTACCTGGCAACGAGGTGTTACCAAATGTTTTGTATAGGAATGATCTGAATAGGACCTTCAAGTGGGGAGTTTAATTTTTTGTTTTTTTTTAAAATACAGTTGAAATGAGTTCATTTTGCATAGCTGGTAGGGATATATTCAAGTGTTCTTATCCCTCTCCATTTTTGATTGATACCAAACAAGAGGGGACAAATCAATTTCCCAGTCCTGCTGCAACGTCCTGTGTGAGATCAGATTTTGGCTGTACAGATCAGAAACATTCTGCTTTTATTGCTCTTACACCTCGTTCCTGCTCTTCTTAGATTTAAGTCACTATATACCCCATGCCATAATTTCTTTCCACCCTTCATTTTAAGACACCCCCAGCTGCACAGGGGAGGGGGACAGAAGCTCACTCAGGTGGTTTTGTTCCTTTGCTTTTACCAAAAACCAGAACAAAGAAAGCCAAGTTCATGAACCGTGTAAACAAGCACAGCTCCAGTAGAGTTTGTGACTGCCCTGGAACACAGCTTTGAAAGGTATTTTCAGATTCCTGGGTAGGTTTGCTACCTTCACAACATCTCTGTGCACACATGCACGTCACTGAGCCCCTGTGTCTCTTCTCTTGTTGACATGCACGTGCCCTCTCTGAGGCTTTTTGTGTCATTAATGTTTTACATACATTTGTATGTACATATATCTAAAATGGTTTGTATGACATGATGATGCACTGTCACTCACAGTGGGTTTGTTTCCTGGCTCTGGAGTTTTCTTATTTATACTATAACAGAATATGTTAATGTTGTATATTAAACAGTACAGTAGTATAAGTAAGTATATTAAGACTCTGTATCAGGGCACAGTCTAAAGGCAAGAGCARATGGTATTCTCTGTTCACTAAAAGGCTTTTTTAGATTTGCTTTTCTCCAGGGTTTTTTTTTTCTCTTTTGCACAAAATCATCTTCTGTTTGTTTAGAAACAAGTGGTTCAGTAATTTTATTTATAAACAAATGCAAGGATGGCATGATAATAGGGTATTGTGTCTGTGTACATTGAAACAAACTGTGCCCTCAGAAAAMAAGTTTAGTGTAACCTCCTTTTTTCTCTTTTTTTTTGCTATGGTGCAATACCCTGGTATGGCTTAGTTGACCTTTAAAAGGAGTAAATATGTAAGTGGTTTTAAGTTTATATCTGTTTTAAAAAAGTAAAAAAATAACTGCTACCCATTCCTTCCCCAGGCACTGCCTTTTCTAATAGAAAAAGTTGTATTTACACCTTTTTTTTGCTGTGGTTTTATATTGTAACTTCATTTTTCTTTGAGAATATTGTATTTAAAAAAAAAAGCAAATTTCATAAAAATTGGAAATGTTATTAAATTATGTCTGCAAACTGAGATGTATCTTTTGAGACAAGAGAACAARGTAAAACCCCCAAATCCCAGAACATTTTTGTCACTCCCCTCATGGGTGAAAGAGTTGTTGGCCACAGCTGGAGGCTCTGTTTCTGTGGGGTGGTGACTGTGTGGGAGGGGACACAGAGTAGGGGGAGGTGCAGGTAGACAGAGCACCCTGGGGAGTTCATCTGTGGTGTCCCCACACCACRGAGAGTCCATCCAAGCTGGCCCTGCACCGTGGTGAGTCCATCGGTGCTGCCCTCGCAAYCCAACCCCCCGTGGCCAAAAACAGCAGGCTGTGTCCCCACCCTGCGCTCACCCTGCGTGAGGCAGCCGTGCTCAGGCAGCTGCAGTGGAGATCAGGTCCTGAGCTGGCCACTGCTATCCAGGGTGTCCCTGCCATCAAACTCACCCATGTCCTGCAAGCGGCAACTTGGAGCAGCCTCCCCTCCAGCCCTGTGCTCACACCTTCCCTCCCGCCCGCCAGACAGAGTCATTACACAACACAATTACTTCTGCATGTAGAGCCATGGTAATTCAAAATAAAACACTGAGAAATTATTTCTACCGTTTGCCATAACAAAGGTGATTTCTCTGCRGGTGTCCCTGTTGCCCTCAGATTCCAGCACAGTAAATTTCACATCACATATTTAATGCAAACAATAATCTCTGTTTTGCTCAGAAAAGGCACCATTTATAAAGTTTCAGAAATACTTCCACTGTTAAAATGTATTATTATGAACAAAATGAGATTAAAAAACAAACAAACATACCTTAATGGTATTGCAATTAATTCTTTTACGGGTTCCCAAAATCTAAATTTTCCTTAAGTTCTCCATGTTTTTGTGATATAGTTTCATGATAAGCTGTGATCATATAAGAAGGAGCTTACATCCTAATTCCGTTGTTCCCCATCATAGCTGGTTCTCAGTAAATGAAACAAACTACAAATTTCTGTTTCAGCGGGTGACTTTTCTCCAAAACAAAAACGATCTGTTTAAAAAGAATACAAATAATAATAAACACAAAAATAGACCAAATGTAATATTCTCAATCAGTGTTACTGAATCCTTGAGCTAAGGTAGAGACATCCACAGATTTAAATGCAAGTTTGTGTACCTAAAAATCTATTCTGAGTATTTTACCTATTACATTTCAAAGGCTTCTTTCAAATCATCATATTTATATTTTTTTCCAAATCCAATAGCTTGATTAATTTACATCAGAAACTGTGGCAGGTGCCAAGATACAAATTGTTATACAGACAAAACCTACAACTACCAGGGGTGAGTGTTTTCAGCCTCGAGTACGCACACAGGCTCCCCAATCCTTACATAACCACCAAAACATTATTAACCTGGGCTCAACAAACAATGCTTTTGAAATCAAGAAATATACTAAACGATGCATGATTATTTTGTAGACACCAAAATGAGAACTCAGAGCCAGACCTGGAGCACATGGATCTGATAATGTAACAATTTCCTGGGTTTTGGGGATGGGGGGTGGAGGGGTGTGTACGTGAGGGAGATAATCACTCAACTTTCTTGGGGAAACAGGAGTTAGAAGTGCTCTTGGCTTTGCCAGTGCGCTGAGGGTGTCGTACTGCTTTTGTCAGCTTGTGAGATGGTCAAAAATAAGGGAAAAGATTTCTCTTAAAGCTTCATGCTTCAGCAGCAACACCATTAATTTGAAAACCAAAACCATGGCAGTTGGAAAATCAAAATGTTTGATTTCTGAATAAACTGTTCATGCCTGTCTTGTGGGTAAGATTTCCAGGACATCCTTCCTTGCTATGGCACAGCCAGGCTTTGTCCACGAGCATGAAACACAGGAAGCTTCTTGTCTGGAAGGAAAATGGTACAGAAATTCTGGTCAAAATGCATTGTGAAAGAAAAAATTCTTAGACCTGTCCTGTGGAAGGCAACAGAAGTCTTAATCTTAATAGAAGATCCATTATCTCAACTTTCAAATTTTAATTTTAATGCTTCTTTATGTTGGCCACACAGACTTTGACTTTCCAGAGCTGCTGAATTGAAGTTACTGGCAGTGGCAAACGTGCAGAGTTTCTGAAATCCTGCTGTAATGGCCAGAAGATGGGCAAGCAGAAAACAGGAAGGACAAAAATTTGTGAAGTTTCACTGAAAATGGGATAGATGGAAGTGAGAAATCTAAAGCCAGGCTTGGAGTTAATCACATTTAAGCAAAAAAAGGCTGCAMAAGTGTGACTGAAACCCCCCTTTTGCCAAACAAGAAGATCCCTGTTAACTGCAGTGAGATTTCTGCTGCACTTAACATTACAATTTTCCTTTATTCTTTCCACACAGAGAAAGGTCTCACTGCCTTAAAGCCATCCCAGGACACGGAACAATTCCCAGTTTTATCTGTCCCAACCACACGTATGAAACACGTGAATGATAGAGGGCAGCTGCTGCTGTTCCTGCCGCTGGTGGCGGCTGCAAATCACACAAACCAACGCCTTCCTGTCCCTTGGGAGAGAAGTGGAGGTTCTGGTTTATGAGCAGTTAGAGAAGAAGAAAGGAAAAAAAAAAAAAAGAGAAAAAAAATCTACACCTTGCAGCAGACAGTGAGCCTGGGGCTGGTGGGGGTGAGGAAGTTAATCAGCCCCGAGCAGGCTGTTCGGGATGAGGCCAAACAGATGGCTCGTCTCCGAAACGGCAAAACGGGAAGCAGATGTGGCCACCGCTTCTCCCCATGCATAACTGGGAACCAGCCGGTTGGTGAGGAACTTTGCATAACAAGGATAATTTGGTATCAAAACTGTCCCTAGAAGTGATCTGAATGGATCTGGGCACAGATGACAGTTTTCACTTCTTGTTTCCCACTCAAGGTTCAACGAGATTAAATTTYAAATGTGACTTCTCTGGGGTTGCTCTCAGCTCTCTTCTAGGGAAACCTCAGGTCTCCACTGAAGCTTTTGGGGCCATACCCCTGATCTCTGCTCAGCCAGTTGACATTTTAGTGACCAATTTTGGCATGCTCTGATTTTTCAGTTTTAACTCCATAAACTTTAGAACAAGCAGAAAAACAGCTTGAGCTGATCTCCTCTATTTGCTTGCACCAAAACTCATGGAGCCTGGGTACAGGAATGCCACAAGCCTGGGCTAGCGTCTCCTGTAAGCTCCTTACCACTAAGAAAAAAGCCCAGGGCCCCAGAGGAGCCTGGCATCCCTTCCTGGGGATAGATCATCTGCCTGGGGGAGCAGGGAWAGGAGCCTCTGGCTGCAAAGCCTGACCAACCTGTCCGAGCCTTTGCACCTACCAGCCCTGCAAGCAATTTACCAAAAAAACCTGGGAAAATAATGTGAGTACTGAGGGGGCAGTTGAAAACATAGATGGGATGTGTACTGCAAGTAAAAGAGGGGTTTCTCTTTTTCCATTCCTCCCCATTTTGTTTCAAAGGAGATGATAGTAATGTCAATTTGACCACAGACTTTTATAGGGTCCCTGTTGCACTGACAAGGATTAAACAAACTACAATATAAAAACATCAAAAGAGAGATCCACAGAGCTCTTAACATTAAGGGTTGTTCGAGTCTGGATTTAAACACCTCAGGTTTGTTTCACTGAGAGCTGCAGTGTACAAAAATGTACTTTTATCACCTTACAGAGATTCCCGAGTGTAGCCACGAGAGAATACAGACTCACCCTCCACTGTGTGGAAGAAAAAGAAGAAGGTGCAAATACTTGCCTAAAACATATTTGTGGGCAGTAACCCAAGCCCTGGTCACATTAATTTCTTTTTTTCTTTTAGTGTGTCACATAAGCAATTTACCTCCCCAGTCCAGCTCTGGCACATTGACAAACTCTTTATTTTTGCATTGCATCCAGTCACTTAGCTCCTGGCCAATAATAYAGATACTGCTTTATTTGCATAGTCTAGCAAATGCACATGGGAATTGTGCTGAACACTCACATGCACATAGGGGGATTTTGGACTCATTAAGTATTGGTACAAATCAGAATTGTTACTTCTGCTTTGGAAACATCTGTCTCGCCTTCTCCTTGTGAACCAAGCTGAGACACAAACCAGTTCTACAAAGTAAATTGTAATTATGTTATGGTATTATGAAAGCACCTGATAAGATAATTTCTTCTGCAGGAACCAGGGTGAAGCTGAACAAATGGGAATACTCAGGGTGCTGAGGAACACCCAGCACCAACAGACCCTGCAGGCCGTGCACATCCAGCAGCTGCTTCTCCCCAAGTCAAAACCTCATCACTCTTAACTGACCTTTAAACAAAGGTGGGATTCTGACCAGCAGGGAGAGTGAAGATGCCCTGGAAGAAAAGCTCCAGTGGTTTTAGGAAAAAAAGTGTTAATAGAATAAATCATCTAAATTCAGGCATTTTGATCAGAATTCCAAAGCCTAGGCCAGGAGAAGGAGACTACAGGCATCTGCCTGAGTTTCATTAACTACTTTTTGATAGCTTAACCATGGGACATTGAAGGTAGGAGCAAATGTACCAGAAGTGATAGGCAGACCAGAAGGGAAATGAAGGGTGGGAGAAGATTGGGTGGAAAAATTGACACATCGAGTTCAGCAGTGAAATTACACTCTGCCATAAGGGTTATTACCACAGAATTAAGAAAAGCCAAACCCAGTGCATTTCAGAGAAATAAAAAATATTTTACCTTTCTGAATAGCTGCATGCCTATTATAGTGCCTATTATACTCTGGGAGAGTTGTCCCCTTCTCTTCATTATCCTTCAACCTGAAATCAATTTCTGAACTAAAACTGTTCTATTTGGATCCTAGTGATGACTCCCTACCCCCCACCCCTGCCAAATCCAGGCAGCCAGTGCAGGTGTTCCCACTGTACACTCACACTTCCTTTTTGTCTTTAGTACCTGACAGAGCAGAGGATTGTGTAGTCTAACTCCTTGTCAAAAAAATTCTTCAACGCTGTCATGAATTWAAAAAAATTATTCACTTCTCTTACTATCCCACTTTCTGGAGATACATAATTCTGGAAAACACC